TATTTTAGATAGATATTTATATTCAATTTGATGCAAAAGATTATTCACAGATATCACGATTGCAAGATGTATGATTGTATCATGCTTGCGTTTATCTATAGCTGTCACTCTATTAGTAGCTTTTCCTTCAAGAAATTGTGCAGCAATTTTTCAAAATTCATCATATTTATTAGGCCTTCCACTATTATATTCATATAAATCAATGGCAATTTCTAGATCACCAAGATCCAAGGCAATTCTAACATGTTCATCAACCTTTGCTTGATTTGCATTTTCAGCTACAGATATGTTACCTATTAGCATTCGATAAATTGTCTGAAGTGATGATAGTTTAGCCTTTGGAAAAAGTAAATCACAGGTACATAGATAATTTATATGTTGTGATAAGACCTGAATGTAATGTATTCTTTGTCTATAATACAAAATATTTATTAGTTTTTTAGAAATAAGTATAAGTATATTAAAGATTTTTAAAAAAGTTTTTTCTAAAACTTTAAACAAAGGTAACTGAATAAGAAATAAATTTTTATTTATTTATACAGGATCAGTTGGTAAAAATTCTTCAATATCTACTGGTTTCCATAGTGGTAAATTAGTAAGTACTTGTTCAAGGTGATATTATTTGGTCCTGTCAACTAGTATAATCCAAGTATTTTCTTTATAGATTTGAATTGTTGTAGCTTGACCAACAGTCCGTACAGGAGTTTCTGATGCATAGTTCATAGCCATAGTATCATGATGTTGTTGTAAATACTTAACGTAATTTAAAATAACAATAATGAAATCATCGAATTTGTCACAGAGCCAATTAAAATTCTTCTTCAGCATCCATGATAAAGTGGTATATGGAGCAAGTGCTTAACAATGTAAGTTTAGTTTATTTTTATCAAAAGGTTTTTGTAATTGCTTATACGATTTTGGATTTGTGTGATTAAAAAACTCAAGAAAAAGATCAGATATATGATAACTACACTCTTTAAATTTCTGGTGACTATATATATCAATATACCAAATCGCCTTACTTAAGTTAACAACAAATTGTTTTCTCTGGGTGTTAGCATATTGCTGAGTTGTCTATTCTCTACCATGATACTAAATCTAATCAACAATTTCATTACATAATTTGTGTCTATGATTCGTATTATCAGACGGTTGAAATGTTGATAAATATTTTTGGGTTTGATATGTATTTTGCATCAAGATTGTAAAGGTATTATGCTGTGATACTAAATTAGAATTTGTGACATTATCTATTTTAAGCTAATAATGTATATATATTTCTAGGCTTGATATAACTTCTATGATATTGCAGTCAAGGCTAATTTGGGTTGCGCCTGTAGCCTGTGTATTGCTTATCTTGATATGATCTATTGTTTCAGACCTTATTATATCAGAATTACACTCAGAAGATATTTCACCAGTTGTAAGTTTTACAAAGAAATCTCTTATCATCATTTCAGAGGGGATAAAATAAATATACCATCTATGAATGATTTTTAATCCCCTGGAGATGCAAATATTTGCAAACGGCATTTTTTTTTAAAAAAAAAAGCTATTTTGTTCTAATGCATATTTATTCAATTTTAAACTGTATAATAATTTTTGTATTTATCAATTTATAGAATCAAATTCTGGGAAAATTTTATTAAGAGCTAAAAAAGATGGGGTTAAATATGTTTAAATTTTGCCACAGCTATGTCTGATATATTTAAATAAATTCTCTTTTTTTCATACCTGTTATAAAACTATACTCTTTATTAATATTTTTTAAAAAAATTGTCTAGATGGACAATAATTTCTGCCACACCATCTCTTTAATGATAACACAAACATCAAAATATTCACTTGTCTCAATAAACCAATATTCTCCTTCTTGATCAGAAACTTACAAGGGTAGATATATATTACTAAAATAGGAATAGTCTAATTTCAATTCTTTCTATTTTAGAGTTAGATTGGCTATTCATCAATTATTTTATTGAGATTGCTAAAAAGTTTTTCTGAGTAGTACTAGCACAAAATTAAGACTAAACTAAATATTGCTAACTATATAGGGTAATTATAACAATTACATAACTATCTCTTAAACTGTATTCTAGGCAAATTTGCCTGGAAAATTTAATTGTATTTAGTATTTTTTAAATAAAAATAATAATTTATTAATGATATGGGGTATA